GAAAGACGACAGGGAAGGCAACTAGTCATCACCACCCACCGCCAACTCTTGGACCACTCTTTTACCAACGAATAGCGGGATTGACCGTCACTTTATAACGCCCCCACGGCTGAAAGGGCGAGCATGTTTGGTGGGACGGGGATTCGAACCCGCGACCCACAGATTGCGAGTCGGACGCCCTAGTCACCTGGCCATGCCGGACCTGAGAACAATTAAACTACAAGATTTATTACATATCAATTGACGAAACGTGATTCGTTAGTTGGTTCTTTATCACAATCAGCTTCCAGTGGGACAGCAGTAAGTTTACGGACTTGCAATGCTAAAATCTAGGGTTGGATTCCCCGCGGTGGACAAAACAGATAGCCCAAAGACGCTTTGCTCTAGAACAAACATAATAAGATTTATCAACATTTTAATCATGAGATCTGTGGATGAGAAAATGATGTAATTAAGATTATCATCAAGCTTATTATGATGTAAAACATTATCTATTGTTCTATTTTGTTTAGCGGCTTACAGTGATTGTTTTTTGTTATTATTTATAAAAACACAATAACAAAAATGAATTATCTAGATTTCCTAATTTGGTAATTTTAGGAAGATGCTAAAATTATAATCACTTGGGATTGTTTAAAAATCCACGTGGCTCCATTATTTCACTTTATAACTGTATCAGAAACCAATCACTTCTTTCCTTAACGTTGGTCTTAATAATTCTACTATTACAAATCGCCAAACACACATCAAACACACTGTACATGTTCTAGACATGTTTAATCATCTTCAGTCCTCCAGGATTGAGTGTTATATATTAACTATAGATGCCGATGTTTAATTAAGGCTCTTAGAGACTACCTCAGCACGGTGCCAAGACAAGACCCGGTCTTTCACCCATACACTTTTATCCTAACTAAACTAAAACGACATAAAGCCAAAAATTTAGCGAGTGTCAAATAATTTTATTAACTATGCACAAAAGACACATTGATGACATAGTCGGCTCAGTTTCTGAACCCTTAAGTGAATTAAAACGTTTCTTCAGTTTAGTTTTCTTTTATCATTCTCTTATTTTCAGCCGTGTAAATCAGTCTTCTATAACTTCACTTTTTTTTCTAGACGTTGAGATTTCCGTTTTACTAAGTTTGGGCATCATACACTCGTCTGATTCATACTTCTAATGCAATTCCTCCTAATCTCTTCACACGCTCTAGTTTCCTCCATTCTCTAATTTCTTGAAACTGTTGAGATAATATAGATCAGAACGATTAGGTCAAAGGCCAAGAAAATGTAATCATGCTTTAGAGCCGCTCATATCCTACATTGTTATTAGATAACTCCGCTCAAAGGGCAAACACTATACCGTGAGAAAGCTTACTCAACCCGAAACTTATATAATAAAACCCTTTAGTTCTTCCTTCTTAACTTTCCACTTTACCAATAACGAAGTTGCCATCTTAGAATCCTATCCAACGATCTTACAGTTTCTCACAGCTTTTAGTAGTTGCCTCATTTAGACCATTGGCGTGATAAGAACGTCATACTCTTAGTAAAACAGGTGCGTGCACCTGTCAGTATTTAAAAATCACAATATGTCTGAAGAGAAAGTTTTAAATAAAGGATTCATTTATATATTGTTACGACAGCGGAAGTCACGCGACGCTAGGAGCACGCGCGCTGGAGTTTCTAGAAGGATCGTGACTTCTCGGTCAACCTCACGAATGTCCCAGCGTTTGCTAGACGCCCTCTTTTTTAGTATATAAGCCGGAGATAGATTAAAGAGAAATAATTGTTTCCCCCACATTAAATTCTCGGCATAGGATTTTTAGATCCCCGCCGCCCTGATGGACCATCTGTCCGTTATCGGCCGTTTAGTTTAGTTTAGTTTAGTCTAGTTTACTTTGCTCTTCACTTCTTACTGTCTACAATTACTCTCTCTTTATCTTTTTAAAATTGCATACCCAGTCCGCATTAATTTCCTATTTCCTCATGTTAAGCCCATATCTCTAGACCACGAGCGGGGTGAAGGAGTATTGTTTAATCTTCGAGCACCTCAGATTAATAATTATTTCTTCGAAAATAATTATTTTAAATCTAAATAACTGCCAGGAAAAGACGAAGAGAAATAATTGGGATAATCGAGTCAAGCGAGCAGTAAGCACCGTAAGTAAAATGTGTGAATGGCTGTGAATTATAGCGTGTGTTTATAAAGGTGTTAAGTTTAAAGAGACTGTAGAAATTAAGTGTCTTACAAAGTTTGTAACAAGAAAGAATAAACTAGTTTTAATTAAGAAAGAACTTGTATCTCTGAAGTTTCTCTGAAAAAAATTTTACAAGAAATTATCAAACAAGCAGATACTAACAATATATTTCAGAAAACCTTATATATCTCATAGCCTACCACGTTTCAGATTGCAATTGAAAGTTTTTCTATAATAAAAGTAATGACAGTCTAAGTCTGCAGGTAAGCTTTTAAGTAAGTTATTACAATAACTCGCTGATTTGTCTGCTATCGGACTTGGAGTTGCTCAATGTTTCAAACCAAATGAAAAAGTATTACCTCGAAACTTATCTAATAAATTAAAGTTGATTTGGTCATTAAGTCATTTTTTCTCTCACTCTCTCTCTCTGTAAACATTCTGTATTTATTGTCGTTCACCTAATATTTTTAACATATTACATTATTCTCTGTTTTTATTTTATATCGTATACTCATTTCCCTAATTAGGTAATGAAAAATATCTATTTTCCTTTGAGAGATCCCTTAGAAACAATGTATTCAAACGATTTTATTTCTAGG